CTGTGGCCAGCCATGGCAGCTAGGACGGTGAGAATGGCCTGAACCGAAGGTGATGGTGCTGAGGCATCGAAGGAACTTGTGGTGGGTGTGTGTGGGCGGGTGGGGTAGTAGGGGACTGGAGCAGCCGGGAAACTAATTTGTGACGCGCTGCAGTGTTTCTTTGGAATCACAATACAGATATAGACGCTTACATACATTCATTTTATGAATGGTACGCATACCCTGCTCTTATGAGCACAGTTCCGAGATACTTAGCCCGCAAATGAAGACGAAGTCATCATAGCAGCTCTATGGAGATGTTGTCTACCAGAGAGAGGTTTGCACCAAAAATCATGCAATAAATTCAATGGCATGTAAATACCGGTGCAAAGTTTAGGACTTGAACACATGTAGGTATGTTCTACCACAACGAATCTAACCAATTCATTTATGTTAAGTTTGCGTTCAGTCTGCTGAGAACGCACATATGCTGATACTGCGGTCTAGTATAACACATGTACACATAAAACTACATTTTTTTACAACATGCACATAAAACTAGGTTTTAACAAAAGACATATATGCCCAACACCACCTTTTTCTCATAAATATTTCTAGCACTATTATTTTGGAAATAAGTAGATTAGGACAAGCCTATCTTTTGGGTTGTTCACCAGACAGTCTTTCGCCCACTAGGAAATAATTCAAGCAAAAGCTTGTTTTTCTTTGTAGCAGACAACAAAAAAAGATGTACATGATTTAAAGCGCGCGATCTCCTATGTTGACAGAACATTAGTGACTGATTTGACGCACTTGGTGAGCAGTTTTTATGTTATTACAAGTTAAGAATGCAATGAGTAAAGTGTATATGTCAACAGACTTGCATAGAAATGGTCAAATGCACTCTATAGCGTTTAGAAGAAGTCCTGCGCTAAAGGTGTTTTGGCCAAACACATGAACATGCATTTTAAATAGCATGCAATAGCGTTTAAAAGAGATCTACCGCTAAGACCCTTAGCACGCTATTGAAAACTATGGTTTTATCTGATCATATAAGTCTGGCGGTACCAATTAATAGGGAAACAATCAGATCATATGTAGGATGCCGATCCTGAACAAAACTTGCCCATATTACTATTTTATGTTGTCATCTTCATGCATACCTGATATCCACGATTTATAAAGTTACGAAGCTTTCCGTAAATACAAAAAATGAACAAATTGGCCTGCCCACCTTAGCAGAGCGTGTTGCAGCTGCTTGCACCC